CTCGACAGCTGTATCACTTGATAGCTGCATCACTTGATAGCTGCATCACTTGATAGCTGCATCACTTGATAGCTGCATCACTTGATCATGGCCGATCGGCGATGATGATCCGTGCGTGTAAGACACGCATTGTGTTCCGTAAGTTGCGTGGGTGTGCAGTGGCCTATGTATAGGTATGCGTGGGGGTGTGGGTGTGCACTCGCCTATGTATAGGTATGCGTGTGTGTGTGTGTATAGGTATGCGTGGGTGTGTGTGTTGGTGCGTGTGTTGGAGTGGGGAGCGGTGGTGCAGCGGTTAGCGCACTGCGCTACGAACCTGGCGGACCCGGGTTCGATTCCCGCTCACTGCCAGCACCACGGTGACGATTGTCTGGACCGGTCCTGGGTGGGCCTCCCTTAGGTCGACTCAGCCTCAAATGAGTACTTGGATGGCGGTGCGTAAAAACATCGCCACTGGGGAGACAAAGGCGGCCGGGCGTGGTGCTGGTCACCCACCCCCTCGTGTGCCGTGCTGGCCTTTGCTAACAGTACTTGCCCCTACAGTCCGTTCAGGCTACACGGGGGACCTTTGTCTTTTGTGTGTCTTGGTGTCTGTGTGCGCGCGTGTGTGTCACTGTCTTAGGGTGCGCCTTTAAAAAAAATAGCTTCTCGCCTTGCGAGGAATGTCGAGTGACTTCATCACGACATCATGCACGACATCATACACGACAAAGAAAAACGTGCCCCCCCCACCTGTACATTTGGAGTTTGCGTGTCTCTCTGTCTCTCTCACCCCGTGGCCGTGTGAGTTTTTTTTTCTTCTTCGAGTTCTCCGGTTGATGATGCCGATATCATCATCATTATTATCGTTTTATTTTCATTGCGACGCTGATAAAATATCGCTTCGTGATATCCTAAAACTGCATGACAATGGGCACGCCGCGGTGGCTAGGAGATGTTAACTACCTCGCCTGGTGTGCAGGAGGTCGTGGGTTCGATCCCGACCCTGACGCCTGCTGCTGTATATTTGGAGTTTGCGTGTCTCATCATCATTATAGTGGCTAAGAGATGTTAACTACCTCGCCTGGTATGCAGGAAACCGTGGGTTCGATCCCGACCCTGACGCCTGCTGCTGTATATTTGGAGTTTTCGTCTCTCATCATCATCACGGTGGCTAGGAGATGTTAACTACCTCGCCTGGTACACAGGAGTTTGTGGGTTCGATCCCAACCCTGACGCCTGCTGCGGTATATTTGGAGTTTGCGTCTCTCATCATCATCACGGTGGCTAGGAGATGTTAACTACCTCGCCTGGTACACAGGAGTTTGTGGGTTCGATCCCAACCCTGACGCCTGCTGCTGTATATTTGGAGTTTGCGTCTCTCATCATCATCACGGTGGCTAGGAGATGTTAACTACCTCGCCTGGTACACAGGAGTTTGTGGGTTCGATCCCGACCCTGACGCCTGCTGCTGTATATTTGGAGTTTGCGTCTCTCATCATCATCACGGTGGCTATGAGATGTTAACTACCTCGCCCGGTACACAGGAGGTCGTGGGTTCGATCCCAACCCTGACGCCTGCTGCTGTATGTATATTTGAAGTTTGCGTTTCTCATCATCATCACGGTGGCCAGGAGATGTTAACTACCTCGCCTGGTGCACAGGAGGTCGTGGGTTGGATCCCGACCCTGACGCCTGCTGCTGTATATTTGGAGTTTGCGTCTCTCATAATCATTACGGTGGCTAGGAGATGTTAACTACCTCGCCTGGTATACAGGAGTTTGTGGGTTCGATCCCAACCCTGACGCCTGCTGCTGTATATTTGGAGTTTGCGTGTCTCTCATAATCATTACGGTGGCTAGGAGATGTTAACTACCTCGCCCGGTACACAGGAGGTCGTGGGTTCGATCCCGACCCTGACGCCTGCTGCTGTATGTATATTTGGAGTTTGCGTTTCTCATCATCATCACGGTGGCCAGGAGATGTTAACTACCTCGCCTGGTACACAGGAGTTTGTGGGTTCGATCCCAACCCTGACGCCTGCTGCGGTATATTTGGAGTTTGCGTCTCTCATCATCATCACGGTGGCTAGGAGATGTTAACTACCTCGCCTGGTACACAGGAGTTTGTGGGTTCGATCCCGACCCTGACGCCTGCTGCTGTATATTTGGAGTTTGCGTCTCTCATCATCATCACGGTGGCTATGAGATGTTAACTACCTCGCCCGGTACACAGGAGGTCGTGGGTTCGATCCCAACCCTGACGCCTGCTGCTGTATATTTGGAGTTTGCGTCTCTCATCATCATCACGGTGGCTAGGAGATGTTAACTACCTCGCCTGGTATACAGGAGTTTGTGGGTTCGATCCCAACCCTGACGCCTGCTGCTGTTAATTTGGAGTTTGCGTCTCTCATCATCATCACGGTGGCTAGGAGATGTTAACTACCTCGCCCGGTACACAGGAGGTCGTGGGTTCGATCCCAACCCTGACGCCTGCTGCTGTATGTATATTTGGAGTTTGCGTCTCTCATCATCATCACGGTGGCCAGGAGATGTTAACTACCTCGCCTGGTGCACAGGAGGTCGTGGGTTCGATCCCAACCCTGACGCCTGCTGCTGTATATTTGGAGTTTGCGTCTCTCATAATCATTACGGTGGCCAGGAGATGTTAACTACCTCGCCCGGTACACAGGAGGTCGTGGGTTCGATCCCAACCCTGACGCCTGCTGCTGTATGTATATTTGGAGTTTGCGTCTCTCATCATCATCACGGTGGCCAGGAGATGTTAACTACCTCGCCCGGTACACAGGAGGTCGTGGGTTCGATCCCGACCCTGACGCCTGCTGCTGTATATTTGAAGTTTGCGTTTCTCATCATCATCACGGTGGCCAGGAGATGTTAACTACCTCGCCTGGTACACAGGAGTTTGTGGGTTCGATCCCAACCCTGACGCCTGCTGCGGTATATTTGGAGTTTTCGTCTCTCATCATCATCACGGTGGCTAGGAGATGTTAACTACCTCGCCTGGTATACAGGAGTTTGTGGGTTCGATCCCAACCCTGACGCCTGCTGCTGTATGTATATTTGGAGTTTGCGTTTCTCATCATCATCACGGTGGCTATGAGATGTTAACTACCTCGCCTGGTGCACAGGAGGTCGTGGGTTGGATCCCGACCCTGACGCCTGCTGCTGTATATTTGGAGTTTGCGTCTCTCATCATCATCACGGTGGCTAGGAGATGTTAACTACCTCGCCTGGTATACAGGAGTTTGTGGGTTCGATCCCAACCCTGACGCCTGCTGCTGCTGTATATTTGGAGTTTGCGTCTCTCATCATCATCACGGTGGCTATGAGATGTTAACTACCTCGCCCGGTACACAGGAGTTTGTGGGTTCGATCCCAACCCTGACGCCTGCTGCTGTAAATTTGGAGTTTGCGTCTCTCATAATCATTACGGTGGCTAGGAGATGTTAACTACCTCGCCTGGTATACAGGAGTTTGTGGGTTCGATCCCAACCCTGACGCCTGCTGCTGTAAATTTGGAGTTTGCGTCTCTCATAATCATTACGGTGGCTAGGAGATGTTAACTACCTCGCCTGGTATACAGGAGTTTGTGGGTTCGATCCCAACCCTGACGCCTGCTGCTGCTGTATATTTGGAGTTTGCGTGTCTCTCTCTCTCACCCCGTGGTCGTGTGGGTTTCTTTTTTCTCAGGGTCCTCCGGTTGATGATGCCGATATCATTATTAGTATTATTATTTATTATTTTTATTGCGACCCGGATAAATTATCGCTTCGTGATATCTTTAAAGTTCATGACATTTAGAATGTGCATCTCTCTTGCTCTGTGGTCGCGTGGATTTTTTTCTCCAGGCCATCCGGTTTTCCCCTCCCACGTTTAGAAACGTGCGTTTATACTATTTAGATTATTTTGCCGTTATAAATGCCCAAGTGATTTGGCCACTTTGTTGAGCTATCATTTGTGGCCAGGTCGCTTTAAAAAAAAGTAAAATACCTCGGGTGAGCCTTGTCTGGAAGGATGGGTGGGGATGGTTTCGTTGTATTTGTTTGTGTTTTGGTGATTTGTTTACCACTCTTGTGCTTCGCACTCCTATCGTGTTTTTATTTTGTTTGTTGTAACGTCCTTACCCCGTGCACCGAATTGGACGCCTGCGAAAAAGAGCTTGATGGCTCATCAGATTCTTCCGGCATAAATAATTATTCTGATTCTGTGTAGCGTTTCATGAATTGCAGGGGGTAAGTGCTGATAGGAGCACCGCCCATGAATGCCGACATAGCACGCCAATGCCGGGGTGGGGTGGATGGCAGAGGTCGCAACCGGGTACCCGATACCCGTACCCTACCCGATACCCGGCTACCCGTACCCGGCCGGGTACGGGTACGGGTAGCCGTTTACGACCCTGGTGCGGCCGGGTACGGGTACGGGTAGGCCGTGAGTCACTGGTGAGTCACCGTTTGTCACTCATTTCGGGTAGGGTACGGGTAGGGAACGGGTACGGGTACCCATTTGCGACCCTGGTGCGGCCTGGTACGGGTACGGGTACGGGTAAGGAATCAAAAACCGTTTGCGACCTCTGGTGGATGGCCAGCACCACGCCCGGCCGCCTTTGTCTCCCCAGTGCCGGTGTTTAATACACACCGCACCAGTTACTCATTTTGAGGCTGAGTCGACCTAGGGAACGACCCAGGACCGGTTCAAACATTCGCTGCCACTGTTATTGGTGGTGAGCTGGAATTGAACTCTGTTTCACTGAGTGCCTAGTGCAGTGCGCTAACCACTGCGCTACCGCTCGCCAATAAGACAAATTAATCCTTGTAAAAGGTTTCAGTTTGGTGTTTTAACATCGTAACACAACTGTTTTGTTGCCAGAAAAAAGGCAAAAACCTATTCTCACGTTTTGGTCCTGCCAAACGAGGTCCCATGATGATGTTTTATTTTTTTTAATTTTTGTCTTTTTTACCCACCTCCCCCGTGCCCTCTGACCTCTGACCTCCTTCGCAGGCGATGCCCAACCATTGCCGTGACCTTGAGGAGAACCCGGCACGGTCGTCTCGGAGGAAATTATCCGATTCCGGTAAGGGGCACGGGTGCACATGGCACCACCGCATTCAGCGCGGACCGCAGCTCTCCCCCTTGATCCAAACAAAATCATTGCAGGATAATTGTTTTTTTACCCTTTTATCTGGCAACAAAACTGACACCTTTTTTACAAGGAGTCATGTTTGCATAGACCACAATACCTGCAGTCATAATGCAAACAAAAAACATAACTCTGATAATATATGCACTGTCCTTGAAGTTGATTGGTCCACACCCGAGACGGCTTTCTTTAGAGCCTAGTCTCACATGGTGTTGGACCAGATGACACCAGAAGGCGTACAACCCAAAGACAGCGCAATATGACTTTACCTTTCATCATTGTTTAGTTTGTTGTCCTTCTCCGGCACCTCCGATTAGCCACGGTTGGCTACGGACGGTGCGAAAGAAGTTCACCGTGCATGCATACAGACATAGATGTGCGATTCTGCGGCCGTCTGGAACGCTCTCTTCCTTCTGATATTAGGATGCCACTGGGAGCTATGAACTTTTCAATCATCGAGATTGAAAACGTACGTACATCTCACAATCGCCGGTTCGCTGCCCGTTATCCTCGTCGCTCTCTCCCAAACGATGGCCCGCCGTAACCCGGCGACGACGCTTCGCCCTCAGCGATGGAGGCCGCCACTGCGCCCACCAACAAGCAGGCCCGCACGGCCGCTTGGGCCGCATCTCAGCACGCGGCAACGGCGTCGTCGTCCTTGCCGGTGCCGCCGCCTCACCGGCCGCCGTCGCCGCAACCGCCGGCGCACCCCGGAGCCGGCGAGCCCCGGTTCGACTCCGGGTCGGACGCGGCGGGCCGAGAGTTCGACGAGGAGTACGAGGTGTCGTCCGTGCTGAGCGACGAGTACTACCTGCACGACGGGATGGGCGACGGCGACGACGATGAGGAGGCGAGTGAGCGAGCGAGCGAGTTAGCGAGCCGGTTGGCGTTGCAACCCCCCCCCCGGGAGCGTCGTGGCGAACCGTCTACGGACACGGACCGCCTTTGCCACCGACACGGCCGTGCCGTGCCACGGGGACGCAGCGAGCCCAGCAAGCGCGGCTTACCCTACCCGTACCCGGCCGGGTAGGGTAAGCCGCGCTTGCTGGGCTCGCTGCCGGGTACGGGTAGGGTACGGCCGGGTACGGGTACCCGTTTGCGACCCTGGTGCGGTCGGGTACGGGTAAAGAATCAAAACCCGTTTGCGACCTCTGGATTCTGGTGATGCCGTGGCGTGGTGGTGGGAGGCTCACGACGGCCCGTGGACTGGACCGTCCTGAGGGTGTGAGTGTGCGCTGAGTGAGCTGTGTGTATTATGGGACCTTTTTGCCAGGATCAAATGCTCTGGTACGTGCATTGTGCTTGTGCTGTTCGCTTTTTGAAGTTAGTCTCTGGTCTGACACTGGTGGTGAGACTAGGCCACAAAGAAGGCTTCTGTCTCTGGTGTAGGCCAATCAGTAGGTTTCTATTTGGTGTATTGAACATATTAGCACATCCCTGCTGTATTACCATAAAGAGTAAAATCTATTCTTATTTTTCACACTGAGCTCACGGCCAACACCGGTGACGATTATCTGAACCGGTCCTGGGCCTCCCCTAGGTCGACTCGGCCTCAAATGAGCACCCGGTGCGGTGTGTAGTAAACATCGCCACTGGGGAGACAAAGGCGGTCGGGCGTGGTTGCTGGCCACCCACCCCCCCTCGTGCGCCGTACCTGCCTTCATAGGTTGCTGCTCGCTAACAGCACTTGCCCCTCAATCTGTTAAAGGCTACACGGTGGGTGGGGGATCTTTGTCTTTGGTCTGTCGCAGAGCCCCTGCGAGACGGAGTTTGTGGGTGCGGATGCAGGAGGCCTCGGCTCTGCCGTGCTTCGTGCACACACGGCCTTTCCCAGCGTAAGTGGGCACACACACGCACATGCTACACACAACAACAACAACAACAACCGCCACTCAGTGGCGGTGACGTCACCGCGACGCTTGTGCCATGCTAGGTGCACGTTGAGGCCACGTGAAGTGTCGAACGCCCGCTGGCAGGAGGTCACGGGGCAGACCCAGCAGGTGCCACGAGTCGACTGACTGAGACGAGTGGCCGATGCACCACCTGTGCCCCCTACTGCGCCAGGCTAGGTGCAGGAGGTCACGGGGCAGACCCAGCAGGTGCCACGGGTCGACTGACTGAGACGAGTGGCCGATGCACCACCTGTGCCCCCTACTGTGCCAGGCTAGGTGCAGGAGGTCACGGGGCAGACCCAGCAGGTGCCACGGGTCGACTGACTGAGATCACTGGGCCGATGCACCACCTGTGCCCTGCTACTGTGCCAACTTGCTGTGCTTTAGCCACCCGGCGCTCCGCTCGTTGTTGTGAGCGTCGCTCCTCTGCCCTCCGTTGTTCATGGAGGGCGACTGCCTCCAACTGCCCAGTAGCGTCCTTCACGAGCCTCCTCCACAGAGGCCGATCTTGACACCGCTGGTACCAGTCATCGGCAAGTCCACTCAGCTCCACGTCCTCCTGTACCACATCACTCCATCTCTTCTCTAGCCCGTGCCGCGCCCGTTTAGCCCCCTCGATCCGGCCGAACAAAAGCTGTTGAGGCATGCGGTGGCTGGGCATGATCCAGCCAAAGCAGACTTTGCTTGCCGGAGGAACTCACTGATGGGACTTTGTCCAGATCACACACTACACACATTCTACACACACGCGTGCAAAACACACACTATACAGCACACACACACACAACCACGCTACACCTATGCAACATACACATCTGTACAACATGCACACTTGTACAATACTCACGCCTGTACACACACACACACGTGTCACACACCTGTGCAACATTCATGTAAAAAAAAATTTATTTTACCAGGTAAGGCCCCACTGAGCCCTGTAGCTCTTTTTCAGAAGCGACCAGGCCACAAATGAGAGCTCAACAAAGTGGCTTATCATCATCACGTGGAAATGTATAGCAGCTAAACACTCTGAACGCGTGACGTTGATTCTAAATGTGGAGGGATTAAACGGAGGACCCGGAGAAAAATCCACGCGACCACAAACTCCTACAGCAGGCGACAGGGTCGGGATCGAACCCACGACTTCCTGTATACCAGGCGAGGTAGTTAACATATCATAGCCACCGTGATGATGATCAGAGACGCAAACTCCAAATATACAGCAGCAGGCGTCAGGGTCTGGATCGAGCCCACGACTTCCTGTACACCAGGCGAGGTAGTTAACATCTCATAGCCACCGTGATGATGATGAGAGACGCAAACTCCAAATATACAGCAGCAGGCGTCAGGGTCTGGATCGAGCCCACGACTTCCTGTACACCAGGCGAGGTAGTTAACATCTCATAGCCACCGTGATGATGATGAGAGACGCAAACTCCAAATATACAGCAGCAGGCGTCAGGGTCAGGATCGAACCCACGACCCCCTGTCTACCAGGCGAGGTAGTTAACATCTCATAGCCACCGTGATGATGATGAGAGACGCAAACTCCAAATATACAGCAGCAGGCGTCAGGGTCAGGATCGAACCCACGACCCCCTGTCTACCAGGCGAGGTAGTTAACATCTCATAGCCACCGTGATGATGATGAGAGACGCAAACTCCAAATATACAGCAGCAGGCGTCAGGGTCAGGATCGAACCCACGACCCCCTGTCTACCAGGCGAGGTAGTTAACATCTCATAGCCACCGTGATGATGATGAGAGACGCAAACTCCAAATATACAGCAGCAGGCGTCAGGGTCAGGATCGAACCCACGACCCCCTGTCTACCAGGCGAGGTAGTTAACATCTCATAGCCACCGTGATGATGATGAGAGACGCAAACTCCAAATATACAGCAGCAGGCGTCAGGGTTGGGATCGAACCCACGACCCCCTGTCTACCAGGCGAGGTAGTTAACATCTCATAGCCACCGTGATGATGATGAGAGACACAAACTCCAAATATACAGCAGCAGGCGTCAGGGTTGGGATCGAACCCACGACCCCCTGTCTACCAAGCGAGGTGGTTAACATCTCCTAGCCACTGCGGTGCCCTGGTTCTTGGCACAAGCGAGCAAACCGAGCAACGTCCCACCTCATCCGTGGTGTAAGGAGAGAGGAGAGACAAGGTGGAAGGCCATGAGGGATTGCATAAGAGCTATGAGAGCCACGGGATCAAAAAAAATATTCCCTCGTTATTCACGAACTTGGCCATCCGCGATGTTTGGCTATCCACGAATCTCGCATCTGAAACTCTACACGACTGCTGCATCGAGAGAGAGAAAGTGATGCGAGAGATAAAGCGACGAGAGATAAAGTGACGAGTGATAAAGCGACGAGAGATAAAGCGACGAGAGATAAAGCGATGAGATATAAAGTTATGAGATCTTATCGGAATTGATGAAGCGCCTTAACGAAGGCGCTTTACAGCGAATCAAGAAAGGTACAATGTGTGAGTGTAATGGTGGAGATGAGGTGAATACAATAGATGAGAGGAGGCAAATCTGTGATGATGCGTTAATTAGGTGAAAGCGAAATTGATGACAGTTAAATGATGGATGAATGCATTGAATGAATGGGGTCAATGAGTGATAGACATATGAAAATAATTATTATAACAGTAAATTATGAATAAATAGAATGAATGGGCTTAATGAGTGATATCCACTTAATGAGAATAATTATTCTGACAGTAAATAATGATGAATGGATTAAATGAATGAATGGGGGTTGATGAGTGGTAGCCGTATCATGGCAATGTGAAGAGGGAACAGGAACGGTGATAGTGGGCAAACACAGCGCGTGATTTTCGTAGGCCGAAATCACCCGCGAAACATCTCTGGAACGTATCCCTCACGAATAACGAGGGGATATTCTAAACGTGTATCTTTTGGTGGTTTTCGGCACACAGGGCAGCTGGCGTTGCAGCGAGTGCCTCATCGTGAACCTGCTGTCCCACCGCTACTGCCTCTACTGCTGGTCCCCGCGGAGAGACTCGCAGAGAGACTCGGGCATCTACCCGGGCAGTGACTCGGACGAGGAGGAGGACGACGAGGAGGTGGCAGCGGTGGCTCTGGCCGACGCCGAGGTGGGAGCGCAGGAGGAGGACGTGGAGGTGGTGGACGAAGAGGAGGACGAAGAAGGGGACGGAGAAGGGAACGGAGAAGACGCGACGGCCGTTGGACATGGCGGCGGTGGGGTCAAAATGGCTGCCAGGGTAGCTAAAATGGCCGCCGCCGCTGCTGCTGCTGCAAAGCGCCGCGGAAAGCAGCAGCAGGAGGCTTCGACGGCGGTAGCGGCCGCCACCGAGGAGCGAGCGGTGGCCGGGCTGACGGAGACGTGCGTGATCTGCCGCGTGCGCCGACGGGACGCGACGATCGTGCACGGGGGAACGGGCCACTTGGTGTCGTGCTTCGCCTGTGCCCAGAGGCTCCACGGGCAGCACAGGCCGTGCCCCGTGTGCCGGGGCCCCATCCAGCTCGTAATCCGCACGTTCGTGTCGTAGTCCGCCAAAGAAACTATTACAAAAGTTATTTTAAACTATTTTTTTCTAACAAAAATGTTTTTTTATCGGGTAAGGTCCCCACTGTGTTGTGTAGCTTATTTTATTCAGAAGCGACCTGGCAGCTCAACGAAGTTGCTTTTCAATCGCGCGGCAATTTCGAGTTGCAGCCAAATACCTAAAATGCGTCATCAATTCTAAATGCGGGGGGAACAAAATAAAAACCGGACGACCCGGCGAGAAAAATCCACGCAAAAGACCAAGTGTCAAAGGTCATCTTCCCCCGTATTGCCTGCCGGGGCAGTTGTTTTTACAAAACACTGCACCAGGTACTCGTTTAAGTCGACCTGTACGTACGTAAGTAGCCAACCGTCACTAATCGGAGAGGTGCAGGGGGAACGAAGAACAATGTACAGTTTATCTCGTAGGCTTTCACGACCAATATTATCCATAATCGAGGTGTTAGATGGCTAACCCCCCCCCACCCCCCCAAAAAAAAACCTCTGTTACGGATCAACAATGTACATTGAACTTCTTGCGGACCAGACGTAGCCAAACCATTGCTCATCGGAGGTGCGGGGGGAAGGACAGGACCTGGGGGGGGGAGGCCCGTGACCGGTTCGGACATTCTTTGCCGATGTTCTCCGTAACACGGTCAACAAATTTTTGGCGCCGCAGGGTTGGAACGTGTCTGCTCTTTCAGGAATGTTTAGGGAATGTTTGTTTGGCGGGGGGCGGGGGGGGGGTCGGGAGGGGTTATGCCACGTCTTGTGTTTTTGTTTCGTGGTTCATTGTGAATTTTTTTTATTATAATTTTTTCGTTTCAACGGTTGTTGTTGTCACGCCACGCGTTTCGTTCTCAAACCAAAAACCATCCGCGCAGACGCCCGCATCTTTAACGTCGTTTTGCGTCTGGAGCACCGAAGCGGGCCGTCGCTGCAAGGATGCAAGAGAACTTGGAAAGACAATCGGCAATCTGCAGCACACGGCCTGGCGAGCGTCAGATGCATGCATGCACAGGCACGCACAGGGTACCGCACGGAGCAGAAGACCCGGACGGCAGAGTCCCCCCTCCCCACGCGCAACCGTTGGGAAACACGTGGCCGGATTCAAAGCTTGCCTTGATGTTCTGAGGATTGAATGGAGTCCCTCGGGATTTGTTGAAGTCTTTTTTATGACCTTGGATCACTTTCCCCCCCGAAAACAAAAGTAAGATTCCAAGAACACAGGATGAGATGTTACTATCCTTTGTGCAAGCACTTCCAAGAGTTCATGAATAGTGAGCCTGGTGACATTTGGGGAGCGCATCGTCAGTAGTGAACCTTTGGTTCCCAGGGTGTTTCGGCCTTTCTCACTATACACCCTCCCCAAAGGCGGCCAGCGACAGGGTGATCAATCCTACGCTTGCATCCCATTCCCAATTAGTCATAGGAGTTGCCTTGTTGTTGATTTGACGGAGCGGTTTCAAAAAGTAAATGAATATATTGTGCTTGAGTTCATGTTTGGGGACAGGTTTAGATATTTTTCACGTTAAATTTGTCGGGATATCCTGTATTGTGTTCGGTTATTATACTTCAACCACAATGTTTTTTTATTAATATTATCGGGTGCAATTGCAAACAACGGCCATGTCAGACATGCAGCAAATCTGGCTGTGACGGTCCCCACCTGATGACGGAGACTTGTGTTGCCTCCGAAACGTCGTTATTTTTTTATTTTATTTTTAATTAATTTTAATTTCATTTTTTATCTACATGGTGACTTTACCGAAAGAACTAAGAGTATGAATCCCTGCAGTCACGAAAGCTTTACATTGCTATCACGTCGTTTTCCGGACTGCAAGACGCGTCTTTTAATCCGGTAGATGTGGAGCTGTTAGCTGCACTGCAAACCCCGAAGAAACGAGTTGGATTCCCGCTGACGGCCAACGCCGGTGGCGATTATCTGCGCCGGTCATGGGACTCCCCCTAGGTCGACTCGGCCTCAAATGAGTACCCGGTGCGGTGTGTAGCTAAACATCGCCACTGCGGTGACAAAGGCGGCCGGGCGTGGTGCTGGCCACCCACCCACCTCGTGTGCCACAGTGCCGGCCTTCATAGGTGCTGCTCGCTAACAGCACTTGCCCCTACAGTCTGTTCAAGCCTATGCGGGGGATCTTTGCCTTTGTGTGTGTGTGTGTTAGTCACCCGATTTGTGTAACGTTATTGACACCAAGAGACCGCATACACATTCCGGTCGAGTATGGTGGCACGCAAGTCACGTTCACCGGAATTACAAACGCACGGATGATGTATATGATATGCATGCTTTGATTTCTCAAGTGTATTAATGTATAGCCAAAGTTTGGCCGTACCTTTGAAGGTTTTTTGTTTTGTTTGTTTGATGCTGTACGATAAAGGAATACCTCATGTTCACACGGAATGGATTTTTTTGTTTGTAACGAGAGCGCGCGCGTAAACCAAAGGTACAAAAAAACAAAGACTTTAAAGTTATCCCCCCTCTGGAATTGGCGTCGTCACGACACGAAGAAGGGGCCGATAGGGAAATCTCGCAGAGCCACGTTGAGAGGGAACGGCACCGTGGAAGCGGACACTGCAGAGCTACCACTGAAATCTCTTCTCCTCTTCCTCCTCCTCCTCCCACGTCTTCCTCCACTCTCTCAACATTTCCCTTATCGATTTATTTGAACGAGCAAGCAACAACAAAATTTGAGCATTTGAAATTTACGAGAATTTGTATTCTTTTTTTTTTACATCAATGAACCCGAAGATTGAGTGAACGCCGTGCCGATTGCGACCGCAAGACTCAGTGCCGACCTCTCTTTCTCCGTGGTGCGAGAGAGACGTGATGGTTGGTGCCGACGATAAAACTGTGATAGGAACAATGCTCTAAGTCCATTGTTAGGTACCGTCGTTTGTCACTCAACGCTCATGACGGATTCGTAGTAACAATGACAATTAAAAAAATTAACCCGTAAAAACTATGCAGTCTATTCTTAGTCTTAAGCCTCACCTTACCATATTAATTAAAAAGTGTGCCGTAATTGGCCCTTCCTCTCTTCAACCATTATATATACGGAGTGGTAGCTCTTGCAATCTCTCACTTACTTGATACAGCTGTCGTGGCTGTGACGGTTCCACCTGAAGACGGAAGCTTGTGTTGCCTCCGAAACGTCGTGATTTTTATTTTATTTTACTTTTATTCATTTTAATTTTTTACCTACGTGACTTTACCGAAAAAACCTAAGAATACTTAAAACGAGAGGCAATGCAGTTATTTCATGGCTATAATGTGCGTACATTGAACTTATTTCACACCGTACGTAGCCAAACGTGCTAACCGGAGGTGCGGTGGAAGGGCAGCAAACTTAACACAAAATCAGCTCTTGAAGAAATTAGTTTTTCTATCTCGATGACGCTTTAAAAGTGCATCGTAGCTCTCAGCGGCATCCTAATATCGGAAGGAAGAGCGTTCCAGACGGCCGCAAAAGCAGCGCGTCTTGCCAGCCGGCAGTGGCTTGATCGAAGGAATAGAACAGCTTCACCTGCACTTTGAACCCCCCGAAGGCAACACTTAAAACAACAAGATGCAGGGATTCATCTTCTTGGTTCTTTCGGTGAAGTCACGTAGAAGGGAAATAATAAAATAAGAAAAATATAACATAATAAAATAATGTTTTATTTTTTAATAAAATAATAAAAATAAAACATAATAAAATAATGTTTTACTTTTTTTATTTTATTATTTCCCTTCTACGTGACTTTACCGAAAGAACCAAGAAGATGAATCCCTGCAGTCACGAAAGCTTTAAATCGAAAAGATGCAGTGCAGTTCTCCCATGGTTATAAAAGTGACCGTCATCGAAAAACCCGCCCACGTGACGCACATCAAGCGTGCGAGAATAGGTGTTTACCTTTTCTGGCGATAAAACAGCTGTGTTAAGATGTTAAAACACCCAACAGAAACGTTTTGCAAGGAATCAAAGTTCAAAGTTCATTTATTAGGTATAGCTCTGTGAGCCATTCCGCTCTTGAATCGGGTGCAACCGCAACAAACAAAAATTAACCCGTAAAAACAAAATTTTTCACTCTAAATCCTTTATATGCGTGGCGGCTAGAGTCCTCTCGTCCTCTGGCTTGAGATGGCTGCCACCTATGGGTCAGATGATTGTCTGCCAGTATTAAGCAATTGGTAATTAAATATTTAATTTGTTTTCCCTAAACAGTGTAAAATTTTGGAAAAAAAATTTCGCGAACATTAATTGTCTCGCACAACGAGTCTGTGTGCAAAATGTCAGCTCGATTGGATCACGGGAAGTGGGTTAAAAAACGACCGAAAGATTTGCACGGTCGTAAGCAAGCAATCAAGCACGCAAGCACGCAAGCAAGCGAACTTAATATGAAGGATTTAAAAAAACAAAAACATAAACAAGAAAACATCTTAAAGTGACTATGTGACTATGTGCAAACAGAAAATCCAAGAAAAGACAGCAAAATATTGCAGAAAAATCACCGTACACCAACCCTGTGCAAATATCCCAGTGGGATGCAAGTCAAACAGCAACAACCACAAGACAACTTAGATTAAGAATCATGTCTGCATTAACCACATATGCATGTGGTCAACATGCAAACAAAAGAAACATGCCCTGGTAAGTGTACGATGCACCAAGGCAGCAGACATCGTGGCTATCGCGATCTTCACCTGAAGACGGGCGCTTGTGTTGCGATCGAAACGTCGCCATTTATTTCGTTTCATTTCTACCGATGTGACTTTACCGAAAGAACCAAAGACTATGATGCATTGTCTTTGAAACTGATAGGTCCACACCGGAGACAGCTTTCTTTAGAGCCACGAGGCTCAAACATTGTTTGAGACGAGGCTCTCACCTGAAGGCGATTGCTTGTGTTGCGATCGAAACGTCGTGATCTATTGTTTTTTTATTTACTTGACTTCACTGAAAGACCCAATCGCTTAGTGTTAGACCAGAGGAAGCCAGAAGGCGATTCCTTGCAAAAAGTTTCTGCTTGGTGTTTGAACATATTAACACCACTTTTTTATTGCCACAAAGGGAAACAAACTTTTTTTTGTTCATATGCAGGTGGCTGTGGGTTCGATCCCAACCATTGACACCTGCTGTATATTTGGAGTTTTCGTCTCTCTCTCTTTCTGTCTTCCCCGTGGTCGCGTGGATTTTTTTCCGGGTCCTCCGGTTTTTAAATCCTTTATATTAAGTTCGCTTGCTTGCTTAGGACCGTGCAAATCATTCGGTCGTTTTTAACCCACTTCCCGTGATCCAATCGAGCTGACATTTTCCACACAGACTCGTTGTGCGTGACAATGCATTTTCGTGAAAAAAATTTTCCAAAATTTTACGCTTTTTAGGACAAAAATATTATATTTAATTACCAATTGCTTAATGGTGCAATGCAATCATCTGACCCATAGGTGGCAGCCATCTCAAGCCAGAGGACGAGAGGACTCTAGCCGCCACGCATATAAAGGATTTATAGTGAAAAACTTTGTTTTTACGGGTTATACTTATTTCACGTGCGTTTAGAGTATTTGGCCGCTGTAAATGTTCCACGCGATAAGCCACTTCGTTGGACTATCATTTGTGGCCAGGTCGCTTGTGAAAAATTAGCTACGTAGCTCAGTGGGCCTTACCTGGTAAAGTACAAAATAGTTGAGAATAGGTTTTTTCCCCTTTTATCTGGCAACAAAACAGATGTTGAGTTTACACCGTTGGTACCTCATTTGCCAGTAAAAAATATGATAATTGTTTTTTTACCATTTAATCTGGCAACAAAACTGACACATTTTTTACGAGGAGTCATGTTTGCATAGACCACAATACCTGCAGTCATAATGCAAACAAAGAACACAACTCTGATAATGGATGCACTGTCCTTGAAGTTGATTGGTCCACACCCGAGACAGCTTTCCTTAGAGCCTAGTCTCACATGGTGTTGGACCAGATGACGCCAAAAGGCGCACAACTCAAAGACAATGCACCATCAGAGTATGAGAGCTCAACTTCAAGGACAGTGTATACATTATCAGAGTTATGTTTTTTGTTTGCATTATGACTGCAGGTATTGTGGTCTATGCAAACATGACTCCTCGTAAAAAAGGTGTCAGTTTTGTTGCCAGATAAAAGCGTAAAAAAACAATTATCAGATGTTGAGTTATTAAAACACCAAACTGAAACCTTTTACAAGGAATCATGTTGCTGCATTAACCACAATACTTGTGGTCAAAATGCAAACAAAAAACACACGCTCTGCTGAGCCTCGTCTCAAACGGTGTTAGACCAGAGGACGCCAATAGGCGTACACAGCACAAGGACAATGCCACTATCAGTGGAATGAGAGCTCGGGGTGAGCATCTTCATCATGGGACCTCCTTTGCCAGTACCCCTTTCATCTGGCAACAAAACGCCTTTCGGCTGAGCCGTAGGACAAAGACGATCACAGCGCCGCGCGTTTAAGGATCGTATTCTTAGGTTTTTTTCGGTAAAGTCACGTAGGTAAAACATTAAAATTAATAAAAGCAAAATAAAATAAAAATCACGACGTTTCGGAGGCAAAA